GAGGAAGAAAGCTGGAATGTAAAGAAAGTAAGCTGGGTGGCTTTTGAGCAGTTTCAAAATGTGTGTTTTATTAAATACACGTTTCGAAGAAATTAAAATTAATTTTGGTATCACAATACTGAATTCCATGAAGACTCCTGACTACGTCATTTCTGTGCTGTAACGTGCCATATATGTATGAGAAACTTCTTACTCGCCTATGTGTATATTGGGCAGATATCCATGCGAGTTTTCTGGTTTACAAAGAAAACTACAGTGGCTTGTGCCATTTCACAGCGATTGCGCTGCAGTTCCCCCCCCCTTGCCGCCCCCTCACGACGTGCCCGGCCTCCCGCTGCCCGCGCGCCCCCTGCCGGCCGCCGCCTCCCCGCGCGCACGGACACGGACAGGGCCGGGCCCTGCCGAAATCCCCGCGTTGCTCAGCAACCCACGGGCTTGCTTGGGAACGCGGGCCACTCCCCGAGCTCAAATCACCCCTGATGCATCCCAAATTTTGGTCCTAGTCTGCATGACCCCGTAACCCCTTGGCGCAGAGCTCGGCTAGAATAGCTGCTGCCTTTAACCACATGTCCCCACTACTGCAGGCAGAAGCCACTTGCTTCTGCTTACATGCTAACTTGTTCCATATGGTTTTACTTCTTGCTCCTCTGTCCCTCACAACAAAAACATTTCATCCTATAATGAAAAATGTAAATCCTCCTGCATCTAAAAGGCAAGTCAAAGGAAATCTGACTGAGGAGCTTGCCTCATAGTGACAGCACAAGCATACAGCCTCCCAACTGGATTTGTGCCATCCTTAGTCATGCACAGCTGGTGTTTGCTCACTAAAATACTCTGTTCATAAACAAGCAATCTCTACCCTATTATTGCTGCCATCTATTAATTCAACTTGTTTCTACTATAATAAATCGTCTCTGGCCAGGCAGCTTTCATAAATAGTCATTCTAGTCTGAATATGAATCGTCCTGGCACAAAACCCAAAAATTCTTCCCAAGCGCTCCTAGGGGAGCACAACTGACTGCTGATACATCAAAAGAATGAAAAGAATCAGCTGTCAAACTAAGAAAGCAATTTAAAACAGGACACAAGGGTAAGACTTTAAGTTATTTCTTAACACAAAAAGAACATTGTATAGATTTGTAGGCCTTGGTACAAGCCCAAGAGCTTTATACATTTCTTAACTAATCCATCTACAACAGGTAACCCAGGGTACCTAAAAACTAATATTCCAGGAAGGCATAAGAGGCTGTCCTGCTTATTTTCCCTGGCTTTGAATCAAAAACCAAAATCAAACAAGGAAAAAAAGAAAACCTCTCCAAAACCCCTACTCTGTCTTGGACATGGTATCTAGGCATCTAAATGAAATCCAGTACTGAATTATTTACTCTGTAACCATGAGGTAAAAATACGCCAAACAGACTGAAAACCACTATGCAAGACTTAGAACTCCCGAATTCTAATCTCAGCTCTGCCAATAACACCGTGCGACCATGACAATGTCCAAGCCTCTGCTGATGCCCTAGTATTTCAGACAATCACTATAATAACTGAAAAAGCTTCCATATTAAAAAAAAAAAGTATCTGTAGAAACAGTGGGGTTTTGGTTTTGCTTTTTTAACTATAGAAAGTAGACATTCAAGAGAAGAGGGAAGGATGCTTTCTTTTATCAAGAGGACAAAAAATCCTTATGCTTTGACTTTTAATCTTCTAGTTTGACTATCAAACAAGACATAACGGCTGTCACTGAACACAGCAAGAATCTACTCTAATCCAGTCTCCTCTGAAAGCATCTTCTACAGATCACCCTCACCTGAAAACAGTTGTTCTCAACAGTCTGTGACCTGTATTATCTTAGAAAAAGAACAGTTGAGTTACAAACGTAGAATTTATAACGCAAACAGACTGTGTCTAATGAAGGAAGCACAGACCTTTATTGTCATGGTGATCTATCTTCCTCCATGAATCCTTTTTTCCTCCTTTAAGCAGTACATCAAGTCCAAGATCAGTTTCAATAAATCTGTTTTTTGCTTATAAGAGATATAAGGACTGTAATAGGTTGCGGGGGCTCCTGAAGCTCTGATTTACTCACATAATCATTACTGCTTCCTCTGAAAGAGACTAACTTTAAAAAGCAGTGAAGAGAAGAAAAACCATGGGAAGTAATCCATAATCAGTAGTTATTAAACGTAAAATGAAGGCATACACTGTTGTGTACCTGACGATAAAGAAATTCACTATAAACTTCAGCAGGAGGCACCAGTGGACTCTGGGAAAAAAACCTCCTTATTTACTTCTGCATTGGGTCTGGCTGAGCTGAAGTTCATTTCCCCATAGTAGCCCTCACAGTACTGTGCTTTGCATTGGTAGCTAGAAGTGGATCAAGGACTTGATGATCTCAGAGGTCCTTTCCAACCCGGCTGATTCTATGATAACACACCAGTGTTTTGGTTTCTGCTGAGCACAGCATCAGTATGTAACGTTCCTTCCCCAGTCAAGGGCAAGATTCTGGGAAGGAGCACAACGAGGCCAGCTGACCCAAACTAACCAGAGGGATATTCCATATCATATGATGTCAGCTCAGATATAAAAGTTTAGGAAAGGAGAAGGAAGGGGGGCATCCATTGTCTCCAATGGCTGCCTGCTAAGAAACCATTATGAGTCACTGAAGCTTCTGTCCTGCTTCTCAGGACATGGCCGGACATTGCTGCTGATGGGAAGTAGAGAATAAACCTCATTATTTTTCACTTCACTTTTCTGCACACAAGCTTTACTTTTCTGCTTCAGTAAAGTGCCTTATCCCAACCCACGAGTCATTTTCCATCTTATTCTCTCTTCCCTTTTCCAGCTGGGAAAGGTAGTGATAGAGCAGCTGGGTGAGCACTTAAGGGCATCCAGCCAAGATCAACCCACTACAGCTTCATTCGCCATAAGAAAAGTGATCATTGCAATGACCTCTACAATTCAGAGCACTGGACAATCCTAGCCTGGAACAAGATCCACTTCAAAAGCCTGAGATACTCACTTCAAAAGCCTGACTCACAAAATTAGTGAACTGAAATCAATGTGAGTACACAAATGAATACACCAGTGACTTCGAGGCCAAAGTTTAAACATAAACATGATGTACGCATCATTATCTCAAAAAAACCCAAAACAAAAACAAACAAATAATAATAAAAAAAAAAATTAATGCATGAACAGGCAAGAGAGAGTTGAGTTTATTCAATCCACCTTAATTTCATATTTTCTAACTTGTAGCTACATCAATGCCTCATAAGCCACCAGCATGCCTGTAACAAATGTGGACAGAGCCTTCGCAAATCTTCGTTCGCGAAGCCCAGCCATGATGATGATGACATCAATGCACAATTTCACCGAGGTAGCAGCTTGCTAACTCGGGACCATCGGTTCATGCAAGTCACAGCTGTTTCATCAATTTCAGCTCCTCTTCATTGATTAACATCCACCAGACACTGGCCTGCAACTTCAGAATCGTAACATCAGAAATGGCAGGCGCATTCTGCGTTTGCTTAACTTTCTTGGCTCAATTTCATTTAAAATTAGTTCTCAGTCTCTGATTTGCCGCATAACTCCAGCAGTAACCTCTTCAATCATTCTAGACTATGGTCTCTCTTATTTGTGCGCTTCATGAGTGTTTTAATGGGCTACAGAAGTGGTATATCACATTATTATGTTTAAAGCCAGATGCTTAACTCCTAACAAAGGGCATAATCCCAAAACTTGTGTATGTCAGAATTACTAAGAGATGCTTTATCTCCCTGTTCAAAAAGTATCAGACACAATCTTAAAAACACAAACTGGTACCGAAAGTTATGTGCAATTAGTTGCCATGATTTCCATGGAGCTACTCAATGGCCATCCAACAACAGATCACATTGCAGGCTCACATTTGTTTTACAAAAGTATTACAGCAAATGCCATGTTTTAAAGTTAATTAGAAGGAACCATTCAAGCAGTTTTGCTTTCAAGATGACAGATTTCTCTGAAACCAAATTACTCCAACAGCCTATTTAAAACACAGAATTAAAACTGTGAAATAACAAGATCAGATGCCATCACAAACAGTACATATTTCATTTAACAGCTTTAAACACTCTTCTTATTAAATATGAGTTTATGGAAATTTCTTTTAACTTTATACAAAATTCCTACAGAAAGTGTGCAGATTGCATGTAAACCTCGCTCTTTCTTCATGTTGTTTTCTTTTACTCATCTTTTACAACATTAAAAAGATGCTACGTTTATCTGATTAAAGTAGTTGAGGATCTTTCTACTTCATGTTTTATGAGCACAAAACTTGCATTATACACTCACATATAGGAAATGAGGCTTGCTGCTGAGTATACATGTGTGGCAATAAATGTGCACAATGGAACTACCCCCAGTCTGTAGCAGCAGGTGGACATAAGGAACACCTGTGGTTTTTACACTTGAATGGTTCCCACCGTCTATTTATAGTCCAGGTAACAGTTTGAGCAATACCAAACTGGGGAATGATAATTTTTCATTAAAAAAAAAAAGTATTTCCAAGCTTTAGGGAAGATACATAGCTCTTTTTTTTTCCATAGCTGTTTATATATAAAGTATTTTTATAATAATTCCTCCAGAAAAACTAAATCTTTGGACCTATATTTTTGAATCAGTGTTCTGAATTGATAGAATTTAATTATCTGTTAAGTGTCTCCAACCTGCACAAGCATCCTCTACTACATCTATACATTCTTGTAGAATTGAAGTTGAACTCAGTAACACACAAGGGAAAGGACACAGCCAAACCAAGAGAAAGGATGAGATCTACTAAGTAGATGGTACTGATAAAATATAAACAAATTAACAGAAACTCAGAAGTCCACCAAAAACAAATAAAGAAATTAACTGTCAGAGTAAATACATTTAATGTATGTGACTGCCCTCAGCAGTAACCACTTGATATATGACACACATTTCACATTAAGGCTGATAATTAGATAATTACCTACCGAATCATTTGCTGCTAAGGCAAGGGCTATATTTACTGCAAGAAAGAGAAAAGAGAAAAAAACAAAAAGATTAAATCCAGGAAAACTGAATTCCTACATATTCAGAACATTATCATTACTAACATGAGAAAATATAATATAAATACATGACACTTATTTAATAATTGCATCATCATCTTGGTTCTTAGCTTCTTGCACCTCTACAATATTTTCTGTTTAAGTGGCAGCAGCACTCACATTTCAGTCCACATTTGTTAACAAGTGAACAAACTTAATCTGCAAAAACTTGCAAACTCTTAAGTTTCTAGAGGACACTGCAAAATAAAAACAATCTCGGTATTTTGCCAAAGCACAACATTAAGGAAAAATTTTTGAGGTACCCACTTCTGAATCGTGGATGCCGTACTACAAAACTAAATTCACCCTGTCACTGATAACCTTTACCCTTCACTGGTAACAGTGTCCAGTGAACTTTCATAAAACTAGAATTTAGGTAAGTATTGGCATGAACTATTAAAGCACAGGGACCAGAAAGATGATATCACTATTATTGATTTCTTGTGATATATTGAACACAGATGTTTCCTGGAACAAGGTGTAAGGTATGCTTTTCACTTGATTTTTATGGCAGAAAACAAAATCACATCTACCTGAAAGCAACTGTAACAACTAAAGAAACAGACAAAAAGGGATGAAGCAACTAAAAAGACTGAGTTTGTTTACAGTTTTTATATTTCCATCAATACTTAATTCCCATAACATGCAAGAAATGGTATCTTTAATGGCTCACCAGCTTCAATTATGTTGGAAGACCTCCCAGAAGCTTCAGTATAAACAAATAGTAATTTTTATAATGCAAGCAGTAACATGTTTTAGGAAAAAAACCAACACACACCACAAGAAGAAACCCAACACACACAACTCTTTCTTGGCTAACATCTTTTGTTTTCTTTACATATTGCTGTTTGTCAGTCCACACAACCTTTCAACAAAGGTAAGCTGCAGTCAGTCTTGTTCTACCAGAAGAGTATAATGGTTCTGAGAACAAGCTGGGGAGCCAGATTCCCATCTGGAAGAACTTAGCACTGAGAAAGGTAAGCTCCTTCAAACAAAACGGTCAGGGCGTTAACAAGGACAACTGTACAGCTTTCTCTAAGAGGCACACAACCTCTGTTTACTCCTAAGCTAATAAAGCACATAGATTTTATTCTTCAACTTGCTATTTAAACATAGGCTTGATTAATTATTCCCCAAATCAATCATGGGAAAATTCATCTTCTGAAAGTTGGAGACCAACTGCAACTCATATCTGAAGGAAGATAGAGACTGTCTTAAAAATCACTTAATACATCTATCTTCTTCTTACACACCTTTCATGTGTGAAAATTAATTTATGATCCACAGTCCTTCTTCAATAAAAAATATTTGACTACTGAAGGGAAAGAAGGGAAACAGTATAGCACGTAAACCTAAGTTTTTTAGCAAGATATCTAGCTGAACACTTGATGTTGAATCCCAGCTGAATCTTGCACTCCCTTGTATTTGTATTACCGTCAGTTCCAAGAGGGGGTAAACATGCAGCATAGGACCTAACCTGACCCTAAACATTCATATTGGCCCTAACTACTAAGTTCCTATAGCCAGGAGTGCAGGAGAGCAAGGCAGTACACGCCAGAAAGTCTATACAACTTCTAAGCAGGCAACTTCTAACCATAGCCTCTCCACTCATGGGTTTAGCACTCATGCTAAACCAGCAGCTCCACCTGCCAACCAGTATCAGGAATGATGCACAGGTTGATCCAAGTTAGTCTAATCCAACCTAAACCTGGCATGAAGCCTTGGATATTGGGAAAAGGTTCTTCACTCAGAGGGGGCCTGGGCGCTGCAACAGGATCCCCAGGGAAGTGGTCACAGCACCAAACCTGACAGAGTTCAAGATATATTTGGACAATACTCTCAGGCACAAGGTGTGACTCCTGGGGATGGTCCTGAGCTGGGCCAGCAGCTGAACTCTGATGATCCTTGTGGGTCCTTTTCAACTCAGGATATTCTACGATTCTAGTCTTCTTGAAATCAGCACAAGGGTGGGAAGGTTTATTACCGTGTACTTTCTAATTTCCAAATTCAAACTGGCCCTAGGAATAGCACGGTTGAAGTCTCAGAACACCGAGCTAACAACACAAATAAAAATTCTTGGTCCAAAATTAGACGTATATAGAACCAGCTGAGTGTGCCTGTATCTGTGACACGGTTAATATACATCATCAATGAAATATGTATAGATAATTTAGATGAACTCTGAAAGATAGCTTTCAATACTTATGTCTCAACGTAAGCGCCATTTAGAAATAGAATTTATCAGAATATTTTAACATGTAGAGAAGGCCCAAAATCAAAAAAGTTTCAATAAGAGTATATCCTACATGCAGAACAAAAGTACGCAAGAGGAAAAAAAAGTTAAAACAGAGTTAATATGACTGAGATAAAGTCAACACATGGTAAAATGTATCAGCTTTCCTGAACAATACTAACAAATCTCAGCCTGTTAGTCTTTGCTAAAAATGTCTGAAGGCCCACATAGTAAGTAGTTTTATTTTCCCCAAACTTCAGGATTGTCAAAATGTGAGCAAGAACATCAGTCTTTAATTTTATTTTACTTCCACAGCTGAAAACAGCAAGACTTCCAATAAATAAAAAATGCCTCTTCTTTCAAGACCACACATTGACCTCTTCTCATGCCAGGATCAATTTTCTTCAGCACTCTCATGTTCAGGCTAATGCAAAACAAGGAACAGAAGAATAAAAAAAAAACCAAAACATAACACCACAAACCCTAAACTTTGGCCAGATGGAGTAAACACAGAAGGATGCTGTTGAAAGACAGCAACTTGATAGGAAAGTGACAGAAAACACAGGAAACAAACAAAGAATCCAAGACTTGTACTAGACAAAAAGAAACAACAACAAAAAACAACTGACGCATTTAAACATGCATTGAAAAATATATTTCCTATAACACAACTGCTTCTAATCATTGACTGCATTGATCTCAGAAGACCAAAAAGCACTGGAAGCAACAAAGAATACAACATGAAAGCCAAATGCAACAAACAGAAAGAGTTATCCAACAGGTGAAGGAATGGCCCTGACAAATTTGACCAGAATGCAGATCCTCTTGTCCAGAAATGGAGATCCAGAGCAATTAAAACATTACCACACTGAGAAAAACAAGAAAAAGAACTCTGATAGGCTTTCTGAGATACAAGCAGTAAGACTATTTTCTGTACTGCTTTAGGAATTAGAGGTGCTTACTATTCTCTTTTCTTCTAAATTCCTGCTGTCAAAATGTGTCAGCAGAATTTTCCCCAAACGTATTTCCCACAAACCTCAATTACAAAGAATATGTTAAATACATAATTCAGTAATGGTACCATGCAATACTTTTGTTTATACTAGTTATCTAATCTTCTGTTGTTCCTCTGAATCATTAAATTTATTCTCATTATAATAAACAAGAATATAGATTTCTTCTCAATATTATGAATGAATACATTCATTAAAGGCTGTCCAATACAGCTACATTTGAACAGTTCATTTACATTTGTAATCTCTTATTTAATGCTTGTTGAACCCTGATTTTTTATTTTTAAATGCATGGGAACAAACTCTCTCCCAGCTTTAAGTATTATTTATACATATGTTATATTTTATGTAGAAATTACATATAGGTGCCAGTTAGCAGAACTTGAATTCACACATTTGTTTGCAGACACAAGAAGAATAGTCTGAATTTACTTTTCAAATTATGTTCATTTTGTAAACTTTTGACAGACAAACAGTTATTTGGTATTTTACCTGAAACAACCAGTCCATGAATTATAATGATGTACCTTTTGGTTGATGGTTAAGAAATGCAAGTGTTAATTATTTTGCATGTCTTTGTATAGGTATGTGTATCCTATGTATAGGATAATAGATAAATAGATTTTAAAAAAAAGGAAATTATTTTTTTCCAAGTATAGTTACTTTTAGTACAGGTATCATGTTTGTCTGTTCTAGTATTTATTATCCAACAGCCCTTTTCAAGCACGGTTGAAATACAAAACAAAAAATGGTAAATTAAAAGCTATATCCATCTGTTATTCTCAACAACTGGACATGAACAGTAGACATCATTCAACTAAAGCATGACTCTTCTCCAATCTAGATGCTAAGAAAGAGATCTTTAAACAAATTTCTAACACTTTACACGACCTTTTCAAAGAAGTTTACCTTCACTGTTACAGAATCATAGAATGGTTTAAGTTGGAAGGGACTCTAAAGATCAGTCAGCTCCAAACCCCTGCTATAGAGAGGGACACCTTCCACTAGACCAGGTTGTGCAAAACCCCATCCAACCCGGCCTTGAACACATCCAGGGACAGGGTATCCACCACTTCTCTAAGCAACCCATTCCAGTGCCTCACCACCCTCAGAGTAAAGAATTTCTTCCTAACATCTCATCTACATCTCTCCACTTCAAGCTTAGAACCATTCACTCTTGTTCTATCACTATCTGCCCATGTAAAAAGCCACTCTCCTTCCTTTTTATAAGTTCCCTTTAAGCATACTGGAAGGCTGCTATAATGTCTCCCTAGAGCCTTATTTTCTCCCAGTTGAACCACCCCAACTCTCTCAGCCTGTCTTCACAGCAGAGATGCTCCAGCCCTCCGATCACCTTTGTGGCACTCATCTGGACCCACTCTAACAGGTCCATGTCCTTCTTATGCTGGGGGACCCAAACCTGGATGCAATGTGACCATCCAGCCAATTCCTTATCTACCAAGTGGTCTGTACATCAAATCCCAGTCTCTCCAGTTCAGACAAAAGGATGCTGTGCAGGAGAGAGCCAAATTCTTTACGTAAGTCCAGGGAGATAACACCAGTCACTCTTCCCTCATCCACCACAACTGTAACCCCATCTTAGAAGGCTACCACAGTTGCTGGCATGATGATTATTTTTCCATTTTGCCATCATTGTTTAAGTTCAAGAAAATTTCTGCAGTACAGGTAACCCATGAATTATCTCGTTCTACCACCTAGGAACTGCACAGTTAGAGAACAATTAATCTAAAACCTAATGGTGGAGTAGGCAGTTTTGTGGTTTACAACTACTGTTTCCTCTTTTGTTTATGAAACAGCTATATAAGTAGTTGAGAAAATTGGACAGTCCTGATTTTTAGCCTTTCTAAATATTAGTGTCCTCGACAGAGCACATGACCATGCTCACAGAGAGGCACTGTACAGGCACACCTAAGCTGCTAGAGCAAGTGTCACCGCACTACCATATGATCCCATTCACCTCAGCTTACATCGCCTCTTATAGCAGACTGTCTCAGGACAACACTGCACTATTAGATACTATTTCAAAGCTGTCTGCTCCATTTATATCTTATTTAAAGGCAAAACTTCTGTACCCAAACAGATTCTCAATGGCTGCAATGGGACTTAACAGAGATAAAGGGCAGTGTTAGTGGAATCAATTTACAAGCTAATGACACGAGCATCCAAATATTCTTTACCAAGTAATAGAAAATGTGCAAAGTCAACAATTAAAAAAGGTCAAATCTTACCTGCTGTTGTTGATTTTCCAACTCCCCCTTTTCCAGAAGCCAAGACCACCACCTGCTTAACTCCTTCTATGGGCTTCTGCTTTGGCAGCCCGCGTGACAGGATCCGGGCACGTCTGTCCCCAAGAGAGTCGTCCCCGGACTAACAAAACCAGAATGCAAGTAAATGGTATGCATCAACATGCAGCTTTCGCGGAGTTGACAAGAAGGAACCCGCCTGCACACTGAGAAATTGTCACTACTAGTCCAAAAAAAGCCTTTGGCACGCGGGCTCTCCCAAAGGGAGCCTGTTTCACACGGCGGGCAGGGAAGGGGCCCAATTAAAAGTAACCCCAGTCGCATTTTGCTTAGACTCAAATATGATCGATCTTAACATCTAAACTAAAAGAAAAAAAAAAAAAAGGACTTGTGTTGAAATAAACCAAAGCACTCCTTTAAAAGTCGAAGCTTTAAAAAAAGAGCCCAAACCTAGCCGTCTTTTCTGCACAGTTGTTTCAGGGACAACAAACACGGCAAACAGCGAAGCAGCAGGAACGCGAGGTGCCGAGGGCAGGCGGTGCCGCACAGGCAGCTGTCCCGAGGGCCGTCAGTGCCCGCCCCGAGCCGTGCCACAGGCATCCTCCCCGCCGCTCCTGCGGCAGAGGAGCCACACGCGGCCCCGCGGCAGGACGGAGCGAGCAGCCGAGTGGAGCATCCCCGCGGGCAGCGTCCCACCTGCTCCCGGAAGGTACAATTTCACCGCCAAAGGCGGTGAGCGCCGCGCTCCTCCCTGGGAGTGGACTCAGATCCAGGCAAAAAGCAGGGAGACCCCATCTCCCTCTGCCCAGCCCGACACTGCCCTAGACACAGACTTAGACTTCAGCGACCGCATCCCCTCCCGCAGGGATACTGCTGCCGAACTGGCCACCGCAGGACACGGTCTGTCAGGGCATTCACGGAGAGCCAGACTACGGCGGTCCCCCCGCCTGCCGCCCTCCGCAGCGCGCCCGCAAGCACAGCCCGCCGCTCGGCCGCTCCGCTCCCCTCCCACCCCGGGCGGACGCGGCGCACGGCGGAGCTCACGCCTCACTCACCGCGGAGCCGGCGAACGGAGCGCTGCAAGCGGCGGGCGCGCAACCCGGACCGCGCGACGGCGCTGCCGGAGCCCGCCCGCCGCCGGCGGGGAGGAGGCGGGCAGCGCCCCGCACCCAGCGCCAGGCGGGACCCGCCATCCCGCCGCCGCCCCGCCTCCGGCGCGCTGAGATGGCGCCGTCTGCCCGCGCCCCGGCCCGCCCCGCGCTCCGCCCGGCACAGAGCCCCGGAGGAGGCGGTGGCGCTGGCTGTTCCCGGGAGAGACAGCGGCTTGCTGGATGTGAGAGTCTGGCGCTGAGAACTGCTGCGGCCCCGGACTTGGGTGGAAGAGACCCAGGTCCTCCCGCAGAGAGCACAAGCGGTGGCACTGTGAAGCAGCAGCACGGAAGGCGGCTCCCTGCCTCTGTCTGTAAGGAAAATGGGGCCAAGGGATCAGCACCGAGTGACCACACGCATTACAAATTGGTTCGGACTTGCTCCTTATAATGCTGTACTTCTCCCCGCAGAGGGTCGTTCTGGCGCTCTCTGCAGCGCTCCCTCGGCCTGTCGATGCCTTCTGAGTTCTCATCTTGGCCCGCAAAATGGTTGGCCGAGAGCCTGGTCCTGTCTTGGTTTGTATTCTCTACAAATACATATATCCCATTTTCTCCTTGGGGTCATTAGGTAAAAGAACAAAGACACCTGTAGCCAAGACAGATGCCACCTGTTTGTTTTTGTTTGTGTTGGTTTTTGTTTTGTTGGTTTTTTTTAATAATGCTAATATTGAAGCATAGAATAACAGAATGGGTAAGGTTGGAAGGGAGCACAGTGGGACATCTGGTCCAACCTCCCTCCTCAAGCAGGGCCATCCAAGAGCCCATGACACAGGACTGCATCCAGAGAGTTCTTGAGTATCTCCATTGCGGGAAACTCCACAACCTCTCTGGGCAATCTGTTCCAGTTCTCAGTAACCCCACACAGTAAAGAAGTTCTTCCTCATATTGAGGTGGAACTTCCTCTGCATCACTTTCTGCCTGTTGCCTCTTGTCTTATTGCTTGGCACCGATCATTGTTCTAGTCACAGTTTCAGTTTTCCACCCAGTTTACCCTCTCTCAGTAAAAGTTTCATCAAAACCACATTTCTATTCCTTATATTCAGTGAGATTTGTTTAAAGCTTCAAGACACATCATCTGTTGCTTCTCCCCCATTTACAAGGCTTGCAACCACTTTGTGGAAGGAAATTAGATCGGTTTGACATTATTTGCTCCCAACAATTCCATGAACAATCCTTATTCATCTGAGTGGTATTACAGAAGTAATTCAGATCTTGGCAGTTTCAGGCCATTAGTTTTCAACTATAAAATACAGTGTCTTCTGTTGGTATCTGTTGTAATATGCAATGGATCAGAGGATTTTACATCAGTTTAAAGCATTATTATGATAAAAATTTCCTCTCTTTCACAGTGAGTGGAATTTTCACTACTATTTTAAATGTTATTTCTTGTCTTTTATTATTAAAAGCACTAATCAAGCATTTTGCTCAAACCCACAATTTTCCAGTGCTCAGCTAAAACACATAAATTATAATTATAAAAATACTTTTTTCCTATGCTTTAAGCAATTCTCATATTTTGCATAGCCAGCACAGACACCTGAAGTGGTCAAATAGTTTCCCAATAATTTACCCTACTGTCAAACCAAAACACAAATGAATACTGAAAATCAATAAGCCATTTCATTTTGAAACTGCAATATAGATCTGCCTTGAGGACCTTTTTTTCACTGCAAAACCATGTTACCTTTTGCATTGCAGGAAATTTGCATAATTGTTTTTTCTACTTTGATCAGTTGGAAGCAGTGTTAAAGTGCAAAATATTGTGCATCTCACATAAATGGAATTGGTACTGCAGGATCACTGGTAGGAATACACTTTAGATAGGCATCACTTCAAAGTCTATACAAAGAAAAGAGTATGGCAAAATATTCTATGAGATACTGCTTAATTTTGAGAATAGCTCCAACACTGATTGGAATAATCCCCAAATATTTTTGTGGGCTTGCTTTTTTTTGTAAAGCTGATCTAGCACAAACTGAAACAGCTAACAATTCTCAATATTTTTAGTTTTAATAATTTCTTTTAGCATTGGTTTGTTAATAGTAGGGTAGCTAATATGGCAGTAAGTTGTACTGAATGTAAATACGAAAAGTAGGACTTGGCCATTAGAAAGGAAATCAATTTACTCAGCAATAAAGGCGACATTTTCAAAATACCTTGACTTTAGTGGAATACACTGATTGTGGTTTGACTGAGTAGTGTTTCACCATCTCTAATAATTGTGAGACAGTTTTATGGATTATACATTTCTCATAGTTGTTCTGGGTGTCCCATTTAAATTTTAACATTTGAAAATATTGTTCTATGTTGTTTGCCCGGCATGTTATTGCAGTCCACATACAGTGCTAAAATATGAGTCTAAGAAAATGCAACCAAAAATTAACTACGTTTTTACTGCCAGACTCAAGTCTTGATGGAAATGGAAACTACAGGAATCTCTGCATCTTTCAGAAAATTCCACTTCAGACTTTTCAATAGTTCAACAAAATGAAAGACACAATATTTAGTTTTAATGCAAATTGATAAAGTTTTCTTTAAGTAAATGTAACAAAATATTTCATAGACTTTAAATTGCTATTCAGCCTGAACAGTAACATGATAAAAATATAATTGATTTTTGTCTGAAATTAGATTGCTGTGTGTTTAAATATATTCTTTCTCCACCTAAAATCAATTACAGGTATCCAGGTATAGCTAGGAAAAAATTGTTGCCAAACTGACTCCAAATTTTAAAAATTAATTAACATTTGAAAAATTACTTGGTAGATAATTAGGTTGATTTGTATGCAGTAGGAAGTAAGCAGCTAAAAAAAGAGCATATTATCAAAACCGTAAGCTTTCAAGGCTGATGGAACCCTGTGTTTCCATTCTCATTTCTGGATGTTTGCATAGTACCATATTAATAATATAGTAAGTTAAAGACACACTGCAAACTCTTTCTCATATGAGCCATCTATTTTGGTCACAATTTGAACTAAAAATCATATTAAAGAGTGGCTAAAAAAATGTTCTTCAAAACTAAGGGGTCATTTTAGCTTCATGACCAGACCTGTAATCTTTGGCCACAAAGGTATACCACTGCATGCTGGAGTGAGCGTGTGGCATGGGGGGGAGGAGGTCCCAGATTCTGTTGGTTTTTTTTTTTTCCCTGGCTGGTTGGCCAGCCCTGGCACCTTAAAGATAAATACATTTAAAATGCTGGTTCATGAAGAAAGGAATTCTTACATAGTTAAATTTTAGGCCAGTTTTCAAAGCTCATGTAATGGACAATGAGGCTGATGTTGCATGATTAAGAAATATAGATGAATACATTAAATTATTAGATAATTTTCCACATATTGTAATATAGTAAAATAAGATACAATGCCCTAAAATATGGCACTTCAGGAGAAGCGAGGAAAACCCTCACTGTGATTGCATTTTAAAAGCTAGAGACTGTTTCCATCTGAGTGTCAGACTGCTAGAGAGCAAGGAGAACACCTGGGGTTAATACATTCCCTTTTTTTCCATGCTTTTTTAAATTGGAGTTGTTCCCAAGCTTTTTCAAAATGCCCACTGGTGTGAGTTCTTTGCTTTACCTTTGCTATGCTCCTCGTGGAAATTAAAGCAACATCCAGGCTGCTTTACTTCATGCTGAGACACTGATCTGGTCTACACAGATCAGCATCAGCTTGACAGAGCTTGTGCATTTTGGCTCGGTGTCATACTTGGGGGTAACAGGCTCCTGATGTATCAGTAAGGCACATCTTACAAACATGTAAGTAGGGAATTTCAGGCCTTAGAGGAGAAAACAACTGCAGGCATATATGAGGAGAGTCCTTATATCTCACACTACTGCCTCTCATTCATTAGAATTTCTCTTTTAATGTCTTTTTTCTGCTAGGCTTAGGCAGCAAGGTCAACATCACTGATACAGAGGCAGTTGTTGCAAAGTAAATTTGGACCAAGGGATTTTAACAGATTCTGATTTCAAATATCCACACAAAACAATGGAGGTTTACCTGTGCTTTCTTAAAAAATATTACCTTGTTTAAGAAGAAAAATGTTCATTATATATGGCAGTGCTTGAAACTGTAACATCTTAACAAGCACAATGAAAACACAGAAGAAACAATAACAATTTCTTCATTTTTCTTTATCACGTGTATTACTATCTCCAATAAATATAAGACCACAAAAGTAACTTCATCAGATGCAATTGCATTGCCAAACCTTAAACTGAGAAAAAAATGCAACTGTCTACTTTAGTTTGGTTTTGATAAATGAGGAAGAAGGTCTGGCAGAATTGAGACCAATTTAGTTTGTATATTGCTTTCCTGTGGACATTTTAGTCAGTGCAGTCCTTCACAGTCAAGAAGAGATAAAAACCTTATTTAAATTGGCACTAGACTCTTCTGAAGTCAGTCATCAAGTTCTTCAGGCTAATATTGCTTACTACAGTAACAGTGAAGATGCGGCTGATATTACAGCAATTTTTCCCGCCTTAAGGAAGTGGTGCATAAAATTAAGAGATTTATTTTGTTGAATATGCTCTTCTGTAACAAAGCTACATAATTTTTCTTAGGTACCTGATAGATAGATATTCCTTGCATGAATGGAATTAATTCAAATTAACAGTGTTTCCACACTTGAAAAAAACACAAAATCAGAGGTTTTGAAAGTATTCTTAATCTTTGCCATATATTTCACAAACATTGAGGGAAAACTGGCATTTTCTTTCTTTTTTCCTACCTATTTTTTTTTTCCAGTGATGGAGATAAATTGCAATGATAAAAGTCCCAGGGGCAGAAAGAGTCCTGTTGTGTTAGACATTGTACAAATACAGAATAAAAATGATGGTCACTGTCCTAAAGGCTTCAGTAAACCATTTGACACCACTGATCTGCGTCACAGTGACATTCAGCCACAGTTTCTGAAATCATTTTAATTCTGCTTTTCACTCATTTTTCTCAGTAATGAGCTTGTGTTTCACAGGAAGCATTTTTGTTAACATCAGAACCTTGAGCCTAAATGAGTTCTGTGTAGCAAATTAATCTTATTTGACCAATGAGGCTGATTGAAACATTACATCAATTTTTACTTGTTTCGGTGTTATTATTTTTAAAATCTGGTTAATCTAAATCAGTTCAGTTTTGTTCCATGGTCATTCAATGCTTATCCCATAAATTCCAGTGCACTAGCAGTGCAAGGTATTTCAGAAGGGCACTGATGCACTTTGGGTGCATATGGATCACTTACACAATATGGACCACTTACACTAGCAGCTTGCTCCAGAGGTTGGTGTGCAAGGATCAATCTCTGCTGAAAATAAATGTGATCTAAGAACACTTATTGTGTCTGTGCAAACTGTTTGAAGCACTATCACATAGAACTGTGAGGCACTCCAGCACTGTGGAGCCAGAGCACCAATTCTTGGAACACAATCCTCTGATTAATCCTCAAGTGTGAAGGTAAGTAACTCTTCCTCAGGGTTTTACATTGAGCCAGAGGTTCAATGTAAACTGGTTCTTAACTGCTGAACCAGGACCAAAATTTTTTTGTTAGTGAGACCTGGCCAAAAGTACGCCAGAAACCATTGCACTGGCCAAGAATATTTCCTGCTATTGATTCTTTATAATACAGATATAGCCTAGAGGCTTACCTGAAATTGAGCTCAATCATTCTCCAAACTCCAGAGTGCATTAGTTAGATCTGTGTTTTCTGTAACAGGAGCCAAAATGTCATATTTGTGCAGGAATTTATTTGTGGGCACAAAAATGAAGGATTTTTTAAATGTGGATATGTCCCTCATTCAGACTGTTATTATGAAGACGATTATTTTTTGTCCTATGGGCAACAGAGTATCCAAGGAAAGATTAAATATCTGTGATATTAAAATATCCCAAATTACAGAGTAATTGTTTTATCCTGTTAATCATAAAAATGTATGCCTCCAGCAGTTCTAAGAATTATCTGTGAAATAAAAAGCTCTTTAAGAAAAAGCTATACCAAATATCATTTTTCTATTCCTTTATAACATCAAATATTGAAGATAAAGTCTTTTACTTCCACTCTGTGGCAGCTATTTAGCACCTATTGTAAAAGAAAGAAACTGTGACTCCCTGACAGTTTAAAAAAGCAAAAAACAAAGATTATGCAAAAAATCTTTTCATCATGTGGTGTTTCTGAGGTATCTAATAATAAACTAATAGTAGCACACCAAATGAGCTCAGAAACATGCATTAAAAAAATCTGTGCTTTGAGAAAGTGTGAAAGTTAAAAATTAAAATACAGTTCTTGCCACTAGAAGCTCTTTAACATGTTAAGTTACATTGGAAGTCAGGAAGCCACTTATTTCTTACCATGTGGTCTATTATCTTATTTGACTCCATGGATATTCATTAGAATTTACAGTCTTTTATTATTTAGCTCACTGCATTAAACATCTGCTTTTTCTCCCCATGATCACCTTCCATGTAAGTTGGTTAAAATAATAAAAAGATTATATATATATATATGTATATATATATATAAATAAAACTATTGTATTAACTGAAACAAACAATCAAAAACCAAAGGCTGATGGTAAATTAAAGTCCTACAGTTGCTATTTGTTCTAAGGGGAGTAAGTTCCCAAAATATAATTTTAAGAAAAGCCCATATATCAACATCACTGTATCAGTATATGATGGTGTGCTATGGTACAACATTGCATTGCAATGTTCTCACACTGAAGGGAATAAAATGCCAAAATCTGTCAACTCTGCTTGGCTCACTGAGCTCTGGCAATCTTATTGAACTCTGCTGCAAAACAGGTTGCTGTGTTCTGGGAACAATAGCTCCAACAACTGATAAATGTCAGACCAAGCATATAATTAGCATGTCCTCAAACTCACCGAGTTTTAGCGTGACGCATGGTAAAATAGCACTTGGGATGACTTCGGAGGTTTGCCATTCAGAGAATTTCCTAATGACCTATCATTTGTGTGCATGCTCTCCTGACTAACTAAGGATCAATATGCCTGACAGGAAAAAATGATTAGGAGCTATGACTCAAGGAGGAAGCTTTTGGCCTGAAGCTGAGGTAAGTTTTACCTTGAAAGTCATCCATATAAATAAAAAAAAAAAAATGACATGCAGCCTTATTATGCCTCATACACAACAGTAACTGGAGGGAAGCAATCCTCCAGGTACAGAGAGAATAATAAATGATCTCTCATACTGTTTGTGAAAGAAGCAGAAAAAGCCACATTTCATTCCATGTACATTTTTAATAACATGAGGCTTTATGCCAACACTCTGATAATTTTACATATGTCATCTATTGAAAACATGGAAGCTCAAGTTTCAGCTCCTAGAAGATATTGACACATTTTTGTCTACAGCAACATCCTCACGTTATCATCAAAATTTCTCACTGAAGATGAAAAATAAAGGGATTAACTAACAATAAGAGAGCAGAGATGCAGCAGTGTCCAGGGAAGAGAACAGATTTTATTTCCTTTATGTGGCAGGGGCCATGCATAACAGAGGCCAATAACACATGGGCTGTGGAACACAGCAGAAACACTTGGTGAGGAGTCAGAGTCTGCACCAGACCAACCCTGAATAGGACAATAAAGAATGTACGACCTGTGCTCCACCGTGCCTAATCTAAATACCTGCTCCATCAGAAGGAACCCAGTTTGCAACACCCCTCTAGTTTAGTCAGGCATGGGTTAGCTCAGTGGCTTGAAGCAAAGCGAAACCACTGCCTGTTGTGCTGCCAGAGCAGTGCCAGGCTCTGCACTGATGTATGGTCAGCAGCTCCACAGAGTGCACAAGAAGCTGAAGCTGACTTTGATCAAAGCTGGCCTGAAGTAAGCAAGTACACTGTGTGTCTTATTTGGATACTTTTTTTCCCTTAATAGATCCAAATTCTGCTTCTCATATAGAAAAACAGAAATTGTACCTGACTGCATTCACACCAAATCAGTTATTTTGTTCATATATTTAATTAACTTTTGATTACTCTAACACATTTCAATATCTGTTTAGTAATTGTATGCAGGACTAAACAAAACACTAATCTATTTTTAATAGTGTATTCAATTTTTGCTGCATTCTTTAAACACAGATAAAATCAACTGCTCAAATCACAGAATTTTACTTCCACAACAGGAATACCAGCTTTCCTTGTAAACAATTCTGTCCTTTGTGGGAACATTAGGTTAGCTCGGCTGGGAGAGCTAAAGAGGTGTACCAACTCTGATGCCACAGAACTGGGGTTGAAGAAGCTTCCTCAGAGCTATGTTGCAAACCAGACAAATAAAAATCACATTATCATCTCTTCCTCTCAATCATCTTACCTCAGAAGTCTGCAATGGTTATTTTGAATGCTAAACAGATCTGGAGGTCATTTTGGAAGGCAAAGTAAGGGACAGTCTTTACTATATGTCTTCTCTGGAAGAGCCATTTCTGGTAGCTGTATACAGGCATTGTGCAATACTTGTGGTCTCTGACAGGACTGCTACTCCATCTTATTTCTGCTGCCTAATTTGTACTAGGGAAACTCTTTATGCCCTCTTTGCTTTCCTTATTTAAATACCTCCTAGGAAGGAGGATGGTGGTTGGGAGGCAGACGTTTTTCTGACCTTAATGTCTGGACAGTGCTTTGAATAGAATTCAGTACTAAACAGTCATCATGTGTCTCAGACTGTAAAATGATTCTAACATCACCAGCTAATCCTCTCTGCAGCTACATCACTGTTGAGCAATATCTTGTCTCTTTCAGCTAATTGGCATTTCAGCTAACAATTCTGAGGATTTAGAAAACTTAATTGGGTCTTGAACTAGACTGAGAAACACGGTACAAAAAATAATCACCAAATATAAGAGCCAAAGGAACTACTCATGCTATCTGTGATGAGGCAAGTAGCTCAAAAAGACAAGCAAAATAACTGCGAGAAAAAGAGAAGAAAAATGGATCATCATCCAAACGAAAGTGAAGGACTTGCCTCAGTTCAAGATGTAAGATCATAAACATCACTTCAAAACCAAATCACACTAACATTCTGAGCTGTCTTGTGGTAGCTTAAACATCTTGGACTAAAGATATGCTTTTTTTTTTTTAATTTCTTTGAGGGATTGACCTGTTGTTTCAGTATTGTATTGATGTTTCAGACACCATAGACAAAGGAATAACATCCCAGACACGTCTTGTTCCTTCAAAGGTCCAGTCAACTACTGCCCCTGCCAAATGGTATGGAACACCAAACTTAATCCTAACAACAACAAAAAAAACATCACTAGGGAAGAATTCAATCACTTGTGATCGTTTTGGTACTTATAGACCTCTAGCATTTCATCCTCTTATCAAACAGGAGAAAGCCAAGTCCCTGCATAGGTAGAGCTCCCAGTATCCAACCAACTCTTGACAAAAGAATTCATTCCAAATATGCATAGAATCATAGAATATGCTGAGTTGGAAGGGACCCATCAGGATCATTGAGTCCAACACCTGGCCCTGTGCAGGACACCCCAAGAATCACACCATGTGCCTAAGAGTGTTGTCTAAACCCTTCTCGAACTCAGACACATGACCATTCACACAAAGAGTAAGAAAAAACACATGGCCACTGAAATTTGCAAGACTGCAATCTGCACCTCTGAGAGAAGTGATGTGAAAATAACCACAAATATCTTCTGGGTACCATTTCCAAAATACCTACTTTCTGCTCCAGTGACAACAAGCAGAGAGGATACAGGAAATATTCTAAGTCAAATCTAAAACATGTAAAAAAAAGTCTTTATATAGTAACTGATAAAAATATCGATATATTTTATGCATGGATATGTTCTTTAGATGCCAAGAAGTGTTTTTCTATACAAAATCCACAATCAAATTCACACCTAAAATTTAACCAACAAATTTACTATCATTCTTTGGCGTACAAAGAGAGGTCCTTAATCTAATGATCAACCCTTAAGATTAAAAAAATTCAAGATGTGGTGAATTAATTTGGCTTCCCAAGGAAAATATTACATAATTCCTCCAAGAATCCATGAATAAATGATGATGTCAAACAATTTTTTCTATGTACTGTTTCACAGGCATTTGTGTTGAAACTTGCACATGAATAAATGTTCGTTATCACATCCTGGTGTAAATAATGGCCCTGCACCAAAAAAACAATCAATATCCTTATATATTAATATTCCTTTATAGTCTGATTACATAATTTGCTCAGACTGTAGTAAAATCCATTTTACTTAACAATCCATTTATATTGCAAATATATATGGAAACCCCCTCTCATTTTAAATGGATTTCTACCTCATTAAACTCTTCTTATTGCGACTGGGGATACAGCTTTCAAGTAAATGAACAGAAGGTATTTTAAATAAAATTAGTTTAGTTTAAATAAAAACAGCTTATACTTTACAGTACCCTACAGCTAGCAAAAATGAGCTACTTTATACACTAACCACCTAGTGCAATTTCCTGCTCTTCCATGAAGGTTTGCTTTGGGAAGAGCAACCTCACTGAACACCCATTAAAGAATCTTATTTTAAAACGACAGACAGAAGATGAATATATCCCTATGTGTGATATTGACTATTCACAAGTGCATATTGACCCTTGCTCTGCAATAATAATCTTTAGTAATCTTACTATATGATTGAGGCCAGGTAGTAAGATTCAGCTTCTTACTCGCACTGCTACGTATTAAATATTTTTATTCCTTTTTTTAAAACATAATTGTAAAAATAACAACTTGTCTTAAAATTAAGAGAGATGCTGAATTCGTCATCATTTTATCCTGATTTCAATGAAGCCAGCACTAGTCAAAACTTGTCTCTCTCAAAATTCACAGATGGGAGGAAGACACAACTCTTCCAGTTTTGGAGCTGTTCAAGGAGTATCAGGCTATGTAGCCCAAGATCTGGAAGATAATAAAAGAAGCAGTTACAATACTTTAGCATTTCCCACTAGCAGTGGAATCTCATTTCAAAACTATGCACTTTTTCCCCCAGATGATTTTAATCACTAGCTATCAAGATCCCTTTTAACTGCATTTATGTTCCCTCTGTCTCAATGCAGTATCATTGAAGATAAATGATCCAACTTGATTCTTCTCAGTCACCTGAAACACAAACATTGTTTTTAAAGAAGTAACAAACAATATTCACCTTTTTTTCATGCACAAACTATACAGTGTATTTCACTTATCACAAGCACGTAACGTTTCCCCACCAGAAGACAAGCAGATCTGTCATTTCTCATTAAAACAAGAAACCACTTCCTGGTAGCTGACGAGCATGGTAAGTTCATCTGTAGCAATACTTTGATTCGTTCTGTTCCAAAGGCTGTATCCCTGCTGCCAGCCCTCTCCACAGACGTCACTGGCAGATCAGAAGCCCCTATTTTACCTCCTGCAGAAGCCCGGTCGCCCGCCCGCCGCCTTCCCGTGGCCGCACCCCCTCTCCCGCCCCGCCGGCCCCGCTGGGAGCACCTCTCCTGCAGTGCCGGGAGGGCGGGACGCGGGGCCGCTCCCGCCCCCAGCGCTGCGGACCCGCCATGGCGGCGGCGCGGCCGGCCCGGGCCCGGGCGCTGCTGCAGCAGAGCGTGTCCGCCCGGCTGCAGGTGCGGCCGCCCGAGCGCGGCGCCGAGGCCCAGTGGGTGGAGGTAACGTGGGCTGTGGGCCGCCTCCTCGGCATCGCCCCTTCTCCGCTCGGCTCGGGGCCGCTCCGGGCCGGGCACCGGGAGAACGCTCCATCCCCCGAGCGCGTGCGCCGCCGGGAAGCGAGGGTGGTGTTTGTAGAGATTTGAGGAAAAGCCCCCGTCTTCCTTTTCCGGGCTCAGCTTCCTTTCAGACACCTTTCTCACTCTGTCCCTGGTTTTCGCTCTCGAGCCCTTTCCTCACCCTCTCGTCATCACCCAAGGTTACGCTCAGTCCCTTCAGCGGAGGGACTGAGCAGCGCAGCAGGATGAGTGCAGTGCACGGCGGTTTGGCCCTGCTGCTCCTTCCCTTTCCTTGTGCTCCAGCAGAGGTTTTCCGCAGGCTGTAGTCCCTTCGGGAGCATGGCTGCTCAACCACACAACACCTCCTTACCGTCTGACCGTGTTGTTCCTTCTTTTCTTGAATACACTTTCACAGAGGCACCAGAACCTTGGCTAGTGGGCTCAGCTGCCGGCTTTGTTTATTGTGTGATAGTGTGCACTTGGAGAGGAAAGGGCAGTGGGGCTATGGTAGCGGTAGTTCTGATGTTGGGATTTTTTTAACAGACCATTAACTAAAAATGAAATTTAGGGTGTAGACAACTACACAGGTTGGGGGAAATGTATTTTCCTCATATTCCTCCCATAGTCTTCTGCTGGGAGAGGTAGGTAGCTCTGCAGACTCTTTGGGCTAAGTGCTGTGCATATAGCCCGGGGCTCTTTACCAAAGCATGAAGGCTGACCTACGGGGTGCACTGTCCTGCTGTAGTTGTCACTGTTTATGGGTTACCTACAGCAGAATAACTCATCTACGCTGGTGTCAACTATTTAGCCCTTGGGGGTTTTTTTGTTTTGTCTTTTGTACTTCTTAAAGACTGCTGTAACAGAAGAGGCTTAATACTGTCACATAACTTCTAAAAAGTAAAAATTGTAGCATGTGTAAAGGGTTAATGAGTTCATTCAACAAATCAGAAAAGAGTTCACTGTCTTTCACCTTAGCTTTAAAACTTCTCTCTCCTTGTTCAGAAGGGGCAGATGGATCCATAAGACCCAGTTTCTGCAGCACGGTGTGGGAAACCAGGATGTTTGGCTGAAGTGCATCTGTGTGTATTGCAGCATAAATTACTATAGGAAAAATAAGCTATTTCTAGTTTGCTAATCTCAGAAGTAGTTGTACATCTAGTAAATAACAGCAGAACTGTAATTTTGCTGGCTATCTTTTAAACTGTCTGAAAAGAGTTTGAAGTTGTTATAGTTGAGAGATATGAGTAACTGTTACAAGGGGGTTTGCAGTTTACATCTCTTATTTGAAGTTTTTAACAGATTCAGCAAAATCCCTGGAAAAGTAATAGAAAGCACTAAAGGAATCTGCAAGAGATTTGGGTGATCTCAGCAGCAGATTATTTTTTGGACATGAACCTTACTCATATTTGTCATGGGTACTTAGGAGTCTTTCTTGGCTACCTCGGGCTTTTTAAGAGAAGTCACTATGCAGGAAAAAAAAATGGGAAGTGATACTTTCTTTAATATGACTACTGTAGAGGTCATTAGAAGGAAACTGCTGCTGATGTTTTGTGGTAGGGTAATGTTACTCCCTATATATGCACGTCAATGCAAAAATAAAAAATACAGGTCTCATCGACTACTATTTACATGAACCAGTGTGTTCCTGATGGTTTGTAACAACTTAAAAGTAGGTCCTCACCTTGAGACATTTCTAGCATACTATAAATATTATGTGGGTGGCTTTGAATAGCTTCTGAGCTGTAGGAGACCCCTGCAGGTACTTTAGGAGATTCAGAGCAGATGTTCTTTATCTGCAAAAAGGTTGGGAGTGTACTCTATACTTACACATGAATCACTGCCTTCATTGTGTTTTCATGATTGAGTTTTTCGGTCCTGTTGAGGATTACTGGGAATTGGATGTTTTGTTTATGGAGAAATGTTGGTTAGATAGCCTCCATAAAAAGCTAATGTGTACAGCAAAATACTTAGGAAGAAAAGGAATTCTACTTTTAAAGGTAGAGTGGAAATAAGGTGTGGTTTGGTGTATTTCACAACTATGGGGGAAAAGAAATGTAAAATGAATATTCAGCTAAAAAGTGTAAGTGCCTACACTTTATGCAATGAAAACTGCCTTTTCCTTATTGTCTTTCCCTTGATTTGTCTTCTGGTTAATATAGCAAAAGGAGGTGAGAAGTACCAGGCACAGACTTGTTCTGTGACCTGTGGCAGATGATGTAATCTCTCTTTGCTGCAGCTGAATATAAGAAATATGACGAAATCTTCCCACAGGGTAGCAAATCTAAACTTGAAGTGGAAATGTCAAAGAATAATTAATGCAAGTTTCACAAACTGGCTTTCTAAGGATTAAAAGTATCTCTGTTTTCATTATCCTCTGCAATTTCCTGGGGAAAAAAAAAAAGATAGAGTCGAGATAATATTTTACAGAATATATTTTGGTTTTCCTAATAATATCCTGAAAAATTCAGATGGATGTATTTAGTAAGGAGGATGAGGAACGAGTCAGTTATTTGTTTTTTCCTGCAAAAGAGCTAAAAAGCAGCATTTGGAGGCAGCATTGCAACGGCTGGCTGTATGGCCTAAGGGCTGGGTACTTGAGCCCTTCATAATTCAGGTTGCCTGATCTGATGATTACTTAGGACAGTTGTATAATAAATGCCAGTGTTGCAAAGTGACTTGCTTTGCTGGTTTATTTATGTAGGCACTTTACTGATAACAGTAAATCCACATAGAGCACAACTTCCCTGTCCAGCTGCCTACGTGTCACTGTGTAAGTTCTTGCAGTGGCTGTTTGCACATCAGTGTGTTGACTATGTGACCATCTTATTTGTGTTATTTTACTTGGTTTTTTGTACTACGAAGAGCAGATAGATTACAGGGGACCTTCAGCAGTGGCAGTGGTTGTGCTTTGATTCAAAAGGTTTACATGTTCCCATTTGTAAGGTAACACATACACAGGTATTCTTCCCAAGAATACCAAGGCAGCGGAAGGATTAAAAAAAAAGGTTTATTTCAGATGCAAGGACTACTTCCTAATGATGCCGCACACACTGGGCCCCAGGGTAAAAAAAGGCAATGCCCCACCTTCTCCAAGGCTTTTTCTATCTTCTGTCTCTTCTCCCCACCCCACCTCTGGCCCTAGGACGCCTTGTGCATGTGTGCAAACATGTTATCTCTCTGTATACCAGAGAGAGAGAGAGCTTGCTCCCAGCTTCTCCCTGCAACTTTCTCTGAAATGCTGAAAGAAGGAAAAAAAAAAATCTAACCTGTTTGAGAAGGCATTCTGCAGTCTTCCTAAGCGAAACAAGTTCTGGCTTTCCGTTAAAAATTCTTGCACAGTTGCACCTATCCCTACACCGTTCCTTACATTGGTGATGAGCAAAAGTCTCAGGACACCTGAAACACTGATATAAGATCAGACTGATATACGTTATTATTAGGTTTGCTCTTGTAATGTCATTCAATTTTACATCTTCTATTGAATTAAGAAACAGAGTAAGAACAGAGTAAGACCTAACAAGAGGTTAAAACATGGTTGCACATGTGTTGAAAACTGTTCAACCACAGTTTTCAGTCATAGTTGAAACCGTAAGTTTCAGCTTACAAATGCTTGAATGGTTTTTAACTATATCATGGTTGAGAAATGGTCTAGAAGACCATAAACATTCAATACAAATAGAAACATCCTCTGGAACCTTTAACTTGTCTCTGAATTAATTGTCTTTTCATTTAACCTCCTGTATCTCTAATTTTCCTCAATATGCATGTTTCATCTTGTGATAAATTGGATATTCAAAACCAGGCATCATATTATGATAGAAGCTGGAAAAATGATGAATGTTGTTACTTAATCTTTAGCTGTCAGGCCATAGGACTTGCAGGGGTCACTTTATTTTCTCTTTTGTCTCTTTAAATGAGATGTTTGCAGAATATTGTTACTTCTGTAAGTGAGACTGTGCAAAAAAAAGACTGTCATAAGCCCCAGAAATAAAATTATTTTCTGTGATGCATACTATATCATGGCATCACTTATTTCTAATGCCGTGGTCAGAAGTGTACAATGTAAATGCATTTGGCCTATTTTATCACAAACATATTTATTAGTAGGTATGTGTGCATTGTTATTATCTATTAATATCCTCACCCTGGTCTGTTTCTGGAGTTAATATTTAGCTAAACATGTAAGGATGTATAATGTTTGGCAGCCTGCATTTCTCTCTTTGAGCAGATGGTTTGAAATGTCATTTGAGGTTCAGGCCATCAAATTTGTTACAGTGTTTATGAAATATGGCAGTCATTTGGGAACATGTGTAATATTCTCTAGTGGTCAAAATGAGTTTTGAAAGGAACCATTTAAAGCGTTTGAAAGTTTCTCAGCATGTGACATTTTGACTACAAAGAGCATTCTCTTTTTTCAGAAGTTAGTCACTAAAAACATAGTTGAGAAAGCATAGCTTTTCTTAGTCATTGCTGTGAGCATTTTGTTTAATCTCTGCAATACCAAAGGGATAAAATCTTATGTGTATAGCTAAGTTTTCTTAACCAAAAACCTTTATCTTTTAGAGAAAAGGGGAAAGAAAAACAAATAAAAGAGAGGGGAAAATTAAATAACGGTATTTTTTAGAAACTCTTCACATTTCCTATCTTTTTGCTTTGATAATGTTGATTAGTGACTCCTTCCTGTCCCAGTCTATTTAACATCTCTTCAGTGGTATTTCGTAAGCTGACATCTATATTTCTTGTAACAAAAATATTAAGATGCTTATTCTTGACAAAGCAGTGGCGAGCTTTTTTTATATACTGTGTGTCTGTGGATATTGTATGCCTTTTGGGGTTTTTTTCCTGAAGAAGTTCAACCATTCAGGTGTACTTGTGCGTGAGACAGTTAAACCATTCAGGTGTACTTCTGCGTTGACTGCAGAGCCTATCAGTTTGTCTTAATAAAGCACAGGTTATTGCACATGCATACCTTGAGAACTAACCAAGAGAACAGAAAAACCACACAAGAATTTTCTTGTGCTTTCTATTCAGTACAGACCTAATTCTTCCCTCACCTACATAGTTCTTACAAGTAGTCTCTCTGAATGCTAAGGAAGTGGCATATCCTTTATTCTATGGGTTTATCAGTCAGGGGAAGGGTTCTCTTTCACCACTAAGATATTACACAAACTGATAAATAATATTTTGGGCAACTTAATAATATTCTGAACAACTTCACAGATGTTGGTCATCGTATTTAAATCTTTAAT